GCACAATTAAAAGTACCTATTATTGTAAAATAATATGTTGGTGTTTAATTCTGCAATTGTATAATTTGATTCTGATAATTATAATAAAAAAAAAAAAAAATAGAAAAATAATTTTGTTATAATTTAAATTATAAATTTGGAAATAACAATAGTATATATAGACCTTTATGTCATAACACTTAAATTTTAATGATAATTAATGACATCTTTTGTTTTATACTAATTATAATGAATTATACATTTTTATTTCATTATAATTTAACATTATAGTAATATATTATGAAATAAATTTTAGTTATAGAAAAAAAAATTAAAATTAAAAATTTATGCATGCATTATTTTATTTTTTAATTTGTAGTATAATATACAAAATACTTTAAAAATAAGAAATATTAATAAAAATAAGTAAAAAAAGGATAATATGAAAGAAGTACATGCATTTATAATAAGAATCATGAATATGTACTATATTATATTATTTATTTTGGGAATATAATTAATAATAATTTTAATTTTATTCCATTAATATAGTGATGTCACTATATTTTTCATATATTTTAATTATAGTAAAAAATTATAATTTAATTTTAAATTGATTACATGCATCTGTTTTATTATAAAAAATAAAATAACATTTCAATAAAAAAAAAAAAAAATTAATAGTAATTATTGTCAGGTATTTATTAATGATTCGTTAAAAATAACTATGTAAATTTAAAAAAAAATATATAAATGTTATAAAGTTAATTTAAATATCATTGATGATATAACTTTCATATTTTAATTATAACGATTATTTAGTTAATATTAAATATAATCAAATGACGTTCATCCTATTTTATTAATATAATAAAAGAAAAAGAAAATTTTCAATTCATTTAAAGAAATGAAATATATAAATTTTTTTTTTTTTTTTTTTTTTTTTTTTTTTTTTTTATTTAGCTTAAGTAATAATAATTATTTATATTTCCACAATTTTTATTTATTTTTGAGTATATTTTTAAGTTTGTTTCATATTACTTGTTTTATAAAATTATTTATTTTTATTTTTTTTTTTAATTATTATCGGCTACAATAAATGAATTCACTTTAATAGTATATTTAATACATAATTAATAAAGTTAAAATGAAGGAATTAATGTAATAAAAAAATTCTACTACTTATATAAGCGCTTTACAACAAAATATGTTTTTATTTATTTAAAGATTTTTCTTTTCTTTTTTTTTTTTTTTTCTTTCTTTTTTTTTTTTTTTTTTTATTTGCGAAATTTTTAGTTGAATGTAAGAATGAGATGAAAGACAATAAAGGAGAATCCAAATCTAAGAAAGAGATGATAGACAATAAAAC